GTGCAGAGCAGAGCAGAGCAGGGCGGGCTCAAAAGCAGTGGAGTCGGTTTGCACACGCGGGGCTGAGGTGTCTGCAGTCTCCTCTAGACCCGCAGAGTCGCTGAGTACGCGCCCAAGTCGTGTGATTGGGTGTATTTGAGCCCTGCTTTTTACTGTTTGGAACACTGATGCCACCATCTCAGTGCTGTCTGCCACAACGTGACGCCCGCCCAACCCCAGATGGGCGGCAGCGAAGCCATCATATCGGCGCTGCAGCGCGGCCTGGAGAAGCACGGCGGCCGCCTGCTGCTGCGCTCCCACGTGGAGCAGGTGGCGGTGGAGGGCGGCCGCGCGGCAGGCGTCGTGCTGCGCGCCCGCGGCGGCGGCGGCGACGGCCGACGCGAGGTCGTGCGCGCGCGCAAGGGTGTGATCTCCAACGCGTCGGTGTGGGACACGGCGCGCCTGCTGCCAGAGGGGTCTGTGCCGAAGGAGTGGCGGGCGCGCAGCGTGGCTACGCCGCAGACGGGCAGCTTTGTGCACCTGCACCTGGGGATTGACGCCAGCGGGCTGCCCGCTGACCTGGACTGCCACCACCTGTGAGGCCTGGGTCGGGTCTAAGATGGGTTGAGGGGCCAGGGGGTGCGGCGCCCCGCAGCTGGCGGGGTGGTGCACGATTTGGGAATGGGGAGTGAGCGGTAGGGATGTGCAGTTCCGGCTGAGGGGGCGTGTTGCTGCCAGGCTCTAGGTAGTGTGAGCGAGTGAAGACCACGGGCTCCTCTTGCACCCATTGCATGTTGACCGCCCCGGTTTTTCCAATTGCGATGCGTCCCCCGCCCAATCGCCTCACACCTTCCGGTCCAACACCCCCTCACCACCCCAGGTTTGTTGACGACTGGTCTGACCTGGATGCCCCCCAGAATGTGCGCATCGCCAGCATTCCCACGGTGTTCGACCCCTCCCTGGCGCCGCCCGGCAAGGCTGTGGGTGAGTTGGCGCAGGGGTGGCCGGCGCATGGGGGTTCAAGGGCCAACAACCATGCGAACGCGGCATCATCGCATGCTGCATACGGTACGTGCTGCAAGGCGGCGACGCATCATATTGGGCCAGAGCGCACGCGCCTGTGCGTGGCCTTTTCCTGCTGTACGGAGCCCGGGCCCTGCCGCGTCACCGATGTCCCCCCCCCAGTCCACGCCTACACCGCGGGCAACGAGCCGTACTCCCTCTGGGAGGGCGTGAGGCGCGGCAGCCCCGAGTACGCGGCCCTCAAGGAGCAGCGCTCACAGTGCCTGTGGAAGGTGGGCAGGGACGGCTTGCCGCGCGCTTGCACGCGCACTTCGCTGAGGCACAAGGCAGCTTGTCTGCTGCCATCTGCTCATGAGGAGCAGGGCCGCGCAGCAGCGGCGAAGTTCTGACCCAGGTTGCACCGGGGCAGACCCGGACGATTGACAGCGGCAACCCAACTCCTCCTCCCCCCTCGTGTGCGCGTGACCCTGCTCTCTCCCCCCAACCAGGCTCTGGAGCGCGTGATCCCCGACATCAGGGAGAGGGCAGAGCTCACGATGGTGGGCACACCCCTCACGCACGAGCGCTTCCTGCGCCGCAACCGGGGCACCTACGGCCCCGCCATCTCCGCCCGCGGCGGCACGTGGCCGGGCAACGGGACGCCGCTGCCGGGGCTGAGCGTCTGCGGGGACAGCTGCATGCCGGGCATCGGCGTGCCGGCGGCCGCCGCGTCGGGGATGATGGCCGCCAACGCCCTGGCGCCCGTGTGGTCCCACCTCAAGACCCTGGACGAGCTGCGCCTGTGAGTCTCCACCCAGCCCCTGTGACACGCACAGCTGCGGGCCGGCATTGCTTGCGTGTCACTAATTTGCGCTTCTGGCCTCAGCCTGCGGGCCCGGCCTTGGTCCTTGATCGACTCCGTGCCTGGCTCAAAGGCGCGGCTGGTGGTTGTTGGTCAGTACTGCCATGTGCATGAGTGGGTGATCTGATGTGGCTGGGTGAGAAACCCTCTCCGCCGGCAATTCCTGCGGTTGAGGCGGGTTCCCCTTGCACCTCGTCGGTAGGACGCATGCAGCTCACCATTCTAGCGGTTTGCTTGAGATATGGCTGTGTGTGCGAGCCGCAATTTGAGCCGGCACCCCCGTTGTTTTTGCGCGCATTGACCGCACCCCATGTTGCGCCACGGCAACGTGGCGCAAGCCCGGCCGGCTTTTGGTCGGGAGCTGTACCAAAACGCTTCCTTGGACCGTGCAAGGCTCCAGCACATGCGTCAGCAGTGCACCACAAAGCGGCGCGCGCTGCTGCATTGCTGGCGGCTGGTTCCTGCGGGTCCTGAAACAACGTGACCACAACCCTTGCGATGAGAGTGCGGTTTAAACCGGTGGCCATCCCATTTGTTGCTGAGGGAAAATTCTAGGCACCTGTTACAATTGTGAAACTGTCTTCCAAAGGCGCGATGTTCATGCGAAGTTTGCCCGATGCTGCCTTGGGCCCAGTGCCTTTGATTGTAAGGCATCCTGATAAGAAAAAATTCTGCGATCAGCAGCTCAACCTGGACAGCTGAATTTGTGACGGGCCGATTGAGCCCAAGCAATCCGCTTGCACCTTGGCGGCGCACAGGAGGAGGGCAGGCTCCATTGAAGTGAGCTGGAGTCCTTGAGTTGGTAACAGCAATGCCAACCTGTGCCCTCGACGTTCCTTTTATCACAAGCAACAGAGCACTATGAACCAAGCCCAGATGGGGGGTCATCACAACCGCCACCCATCAGCGCAAGCAGCTCGCTCTGTCAGGGTCATTTGTAACGCGCCCAGGGGTTGATGGAGGGCCCAGTCGTCCGGACCTTGCCCACTGCGCCCTCCGCCAGTGAGCCGCCAAACGTCATGTACGGCCTGGCGCCGCCGGTGGGGCTGTACTTGATGCCCACGCAGCCTGCCTGCAAGGCGCACGCCTTGAGGGCGTCGACGAGTGTGGCGTGGTGCGTGATGCTGCTGCCCAGGGAGCCCCAATCGCTGGGGTCCGCCCGGTAGGCTGAGTAGCGCCCAGGGCCGATCTTTGGGGGAGGGACGGAGGTGGGGGCATGACCCGCGGATCGGAAGTGCCGGTTATGGGGTGATTCCTCACTGCTGCACCCCCATGAGACCATAGGCTTCGGGTGCGGCAGCATGTGAGGGCACCGCCGCCAACCCCAACTCGTTCTGTCAACCAGCTCCTTTAGACAATTGTTTGGCCAGTTGCAATCGGTTTCTACTCACCTCGAAGAGCACCTTGGCTTCGGATGCGCCCGTTGGGCCAAACACTCCTGGGGTGACCCCCTTCAGCCGCAGCGCGCACTGCCGCCCACTTTTTGCGTAGCCGTCAAAAAGGAAGTACTGGCACCCGGAAACGGCGTCAGCTGCCTTTTGGCAGAGCGCCTGGCATGCCTCAACGGTGGCTGCGCTGGGCTGCGGGGTCAGGGTGGAGCCCGCCATGGGGATGTAGTCATGAGCGAGGAAGGTGCGGACGCCGTCGCCGGGAAACTCGGGGGTGCAGGCCTCCACCTGTTGGGAGCCCTGAGGGTTGGGAGGCAGTAGTGGGGCGCAAGAGGTTTGCGAGGCCAGAGGGGTGAGGTAAAAAGGACTATTGAGGGAGGTTTGGGAAGTTGGCTGCGGGCTCGCACGCAGGATCCCTTGTGAGGGCACGGGCAGCCGTGAGGCCTGGACGCCTGCGGACGTGACGTTTGCCATCCGGCCTGATGGCGCGCAGCACCACAACATCAGGCGGCCACGCACCAGGGGCAATACCATGCGGCCTGTGTAGCCAGAGGGCTTAGGGCAAACGATGGCTGAGGGACACATGCATGCACGCAGCAAAAGCGGAGGGTTCGTTGAGGGTGGTTGGTTACACAGTGGCATGCTGGCCCAACACAAGGCGTCACTGAGCAGCACGGCTGATGCAAGCAAGAGCACACCCAAAGAAGGCATCATGGCCACAGCTGGTCAGTATCCCCAGCTGCCCCAACCCCGCTGCTCGCCGCGCCACCCGTTTCGTGCTGCCCTTCACCTTGGGCCGCTCCGACCACCATCAGCGTCAAGATCGACACCCCCAAGCCTTTCATGGCGCAGGCCCGTATCAACCAGGCCTTGAAGGTTTGGATCAAGAGGGTGGCGACATGTTGCGGTCATGCCAGGCAGCAAAGTTTAGCTGTTTGCTTGTTTGTATGCACCCAGGCAAATGCACATTGCTGCAGGTGCTGTGTGTGCCGAAAGTGATGCCGCTGTCCGTCTGTGCTGCCACATGCACATCTTGTAAGAGCATTCAGGCATTCTCTCAGACAGGGATGCTTGCCGGTGAGTGTATGGCTCCCACAACAGCGCTTTGACATGCAAGTGCGCCAGCCACTTGCCGGTGAAGCTCACGCGCCGCTGGGCAGAAAGCGCGAGCGGTGCGGCGGATGCGACGACGTAGGCCGCGGGGTGTTGCAAAAGGTGCAGAGTGATATCTCAGGTCTCCGTTCACATTCCCTCTAACCTGTGCGAAGAACAACGAATACGGTACCGCATGCTGGGGTGGTCGTGGCCTGCAGCTCGCGTGGAACTCTCAATCCGAATGCGTTGGAATATCTCACCACAGCAATCAATTGTTGTAACAGCTCGAATCATGCTGCGAACTGTCACAGTGCGAGATCACTAAATGAGTCACCCGCGCTGGACCAGCTGCGTTGACCTGTGACGCCTGCCCTCACTGCCCCTGGCGCTGCCGCAGCGCACCGCGCTGCAACCGAAGTGATGCCGCTATGCTGCAGCTGCCCCCCTCAAGCTGACACTCCCTGCATCATGGAAACCGGCTACTACATACCGGCACGAGGTGAGCGGGCCCTGTACTGAGAAGGGCTGCTGCACATATCAAGCTGTCACGTGCAGTGGCAAACACTGTGCGTTGCTGTTACAACCGAGGACGCCATCGACAGGCAGCAGTTCGACGTTCGACCAGCCTGGAAGGCTGATAAAGCGCCAAGCTCACTGCTCCAGGATGCAGCCCAACGAGCACTTCGCAGCAGCCATCGCACTGCCCGTGAGCACCACCGCAGTCGCCAGGGCACTGCGCCAGTGCGGGCGGCTGACCAGGCGTGTGCTGCTTACGCGCTGCCGCGACCGAAGCCACCGCCGCCGCCACCGCCGCCGAACTGGGGCTGGTACGCGCCGGGAGCACCAGCCTTGTCGCCGCCGCCGCCGCCGCGACCGAAGCCGCCCTCGCGGGGGCGCTCGCTGCGGTAGCCCTCGCGGCCGCCGTAGCCGCCCTCGCGCGGGGGGCCGCGAGGCGGGCGGTCGCCAGCCGGGGGCCTGGGGCGCTCGCCGATCGGGCGGGCGCTCTTCTTGAGCGTGGCGGGCACCACGTCGGCGGGCAGGTTGAGGTACTCGCGCAGGTACTCGATGCCCTCGTTGGTCAGGAACCTTGGGGGTTGGGATTGTAAGCGGTAGGGGGAAGTGAAGGCAGTGTTCAGCAGGGAGGCGCGCAATGGTTCGCGAGTGGGATGCGGGGCGCGTGCATGTGTAGGAGAGGTTGCGAGGCGAGAGGTGGGTGCATGTCAAAGGCGGTTGTGCGGAGCGGCACGCCCGCGCCAACTGTGACGCCCCCTGCCAGCTGCGTATCAATTCGCCATGCCTCTGTCAAAGCAGGACCGCCCAATTGGGGTGTTCGCACAATTATGCACCCGCGGCTGCCACCCGCAGCTGCCACCATACCACTGCTGCCCAGCAGATGCTTAGGGCTACTACGCGCTGCTGTCTTGCTGACGACAAACGTTTCTGCGGCTTGGCCAGCACTCTGGCAGCGTGCTGGTGGGCCGCTGCTCCAATCCACAATTGTGTCAACAACGGGATGCGCCAACTCACCAGGCCCCCACCCTTTGGGAGCCGCCTTTTGACTGCTCACCAGTAGTAGTGGCGCCAGGCAAAGCGCTCAGTCACCAGCGCCTTGGACTTGAACGACTGCATCAGCTTGATCACGTGCAGGTTAGGCACGTCGATCTCCGGGTGCTTGGCCAGGTTGAAGTCCTTCTCGGCGTACAGCACGCCCTCTGCATGAGGTGAGATAGGCTCCAAATTATGTGCGTGGCGCACAGCACACGCATGCGACCAGGCTGCGGCCTGCTCAAGCTGGAGCCGTCACATTGCTGCAAGCAGCGGCCGCTGCTGTGCGCATCGTGCGTACGTCCCCACAGCCAGCTGCCTCCGCCCCCTGCGACAGCGCACCCTTGAAGAGGAACTTGTACACATCGCGGCGGTTCTTCTTAGGGATGAGCATCTTGCCGGTGTTGGGGTGAGAGTCCCTCGCGTCGGCTCAAGGCCAACTCGACTCCCCTGTGTCTGCAAACACGCGTTGAGTGGCACCGATGTGCACAAACGGTCGCCCCGTGCGAGTGCAGGTGAACTGACAATGGCGGGCTGCTGGCTGGCAACACTGCAAGCGCGACGGCTGCTCGTGGGTTGTGCGCAGAGCAGCGCAGTGGGCTCACCACGCTACGAAGTAGCGGATCGTTGTGTGAAAGAGGACGAGTTGGGGGCGCGCGGCACGTTTGTTGCGCGTCGCAGTATTGCAGTGCCTGCTCCCCTCCCAGGTTTGCCTTGCGGATTGCTAGGCCAGAGAGAGTGCGCGCCTGGTTGTACAGAGCGAAATCAGCAGCTGGAGCACTGGTAGGTGTGGCGGGACCAAGCCAGGGCTTACACTGCAGTACATCCCTGGTGCTGGCAGCTTGACCCAGTCTGAACACCCTCAATAGTTCGATGTGCTGCTCCAGGCCGAATGCACTCGCGGCAAAGTACACTGCGCAAGCTTACAGAACAACTAGCTGCGTAGCAGTGAGTGAAGGGCCTCTGCCGCTTCCTTCAACGCCAGTACTGTCGGAGCTGATAATACACACGCGGCACTGTCGCCCAACGGCTGCATGCGCCACCTGCACTGCCGCAGCAGCCGGCGGCAGGCCCAGCCACTGCTCGGGGGAAAATGGCAGCAGGGTGCGCCACACCTGGTGCTCCGCCGCCGCCTGCAAAGGCGCAGCCCCGCCGCTGCCGTCTGCCCCTCCCTCGCTGTCCACCAGGGCCAGCGACAGGCTGCCTGCCCATGCCAGCTCGGTCTCCGCCGCGCCGCACTCCACGCAGCAGAAGTTGCACGCCCACAGTGCGGCCCCTGGATTGTCCCACTCAATCGCATCGCCACCGCCGCCACCGTCGGCCACCTGGGTGTCGTCGTCCCCCAAGAGGTCCCCAAGGTCACCCAGTCCAAGCGATGACCGCGACACGTGCCGCCCACAAGCCCAGTGAACCCTCGCCACCCGCACTGACGCCCCCGCCACACGCGCCTCAACGATGGCAATGGGCGGGGGAGGTGCGGCTGCTGTTGCAGTAGATGGCATGCTTGTCAGCTCGGTGAGCGACCGGGTGAGACCATCCTGCAGCGCAGGCGTCGTCAGCAGCGCCGGGAGGCTGGTGACAACCTGCGCTGCGGCACCCTCGGCAGCCGCGTCCCACTCCACCTCGGCCGCCACGTTCCCGGCGCCAGGCGGCGTGGCGCCTGTGGGGCCGACGGGCGGCACGACGGTGCGCGCGCCAATGAGCAGCAGCGTGTGGCCGTCTCGCAGCTGTTGCAGCAGGGCCTGCAGGGGATTGATGGGAAGGCACATTCCCGTCAGCCTACGGTGCATCCCAACAGGTAGTTGTCATGCGGCAGCGGCACGCCATGTTCAGGCAGTGACGTTGTTACCGGTGATTGCCATGCTGATGATGCATGACAGGGGCACACATTGGTGAAATCCGCCCGTTGCGGCATGCCAGCACGCCAATCACATGAGACGCATGTTGGCCCCACCTTGCTGTATGGCCCATCCGCGAGTCGCATGCGCAGCTTGATGCTGCTACCGCCGGCTGCCATTGATGCCAGTGTGCAGACCAGCTGCCCGCCACCCTGCCGCCTGAGGCCGTAGACGCGGCCCCACAGGACCAGTCCCTTTGCTCCAGCCTGCAGCGTGCCCAGTGGTGGTAGCACATGCGTACCAGCGGTGGTGGCGGCTGCCTGCTGGTGCTGCTGCTGCTGCTGCTGGTGCTGCTGCTGCTGCTGCTGCTGCTGCTGGTGCTGCTGCTGCTGCTGCTGGCAGGGCAGGCCGTCGACCTCCATTGCGCCCGGCTCACCCGTGCCCTCACTCCCTGGCACAGAGGGCGCCACCACTAGGTACCGCTGCCCAAGCAGCAGCACCCGCCCCTCAGAGCCGCTGCAGCCACCACCGGCGCCGTCGCGCTCGGCTGCGGCGGCAAGGGGTTGCATGCCATGCGCGCCTGGGTCTGCCAGGGGTTCGGGGCTCAGGAGCGCAGCGCCCAGCAGCGCGACGGTCTCTCCCTCGCACAATAGCTGCCCCAGGGCAGTCTGGTCGTCCCGCAGCACGAGTGCCACCTGCGCCTTGGCTGCGTGCTGCCCGCCGCCCTGCCTCGCCACGGCCTTGCCGCCGTCGTCCTCCCAGCTGCCGTTGCTGATGCTGCCGGCGAACGCTGCGGCTTCTGACAGCGAAACTGTGACAGACGACCGAGCGTTCCAAGGAGCGCCGCTGGTCACGCCTCCAACCTTCGCCACCTGGGCGACCACCCAGCCGCTCAAGGGCGCTGCCCCCGCCCGCGGCGCTGCGCCGTTTGTGAACGCCAGCGCGCAATGCAGTGTGCGCACAGGATGCTTCAAAATCTTGGCCTGAGGCGGCCCCAGGCTGTCCAGCTGGAGCCAGCTGGTGAGGGGCACCTCCACCACCACCTGGGACGTGGGCATCAGCGGCGGCAGGCCGGGGCAGCCGTGCGGCGGCGACACGGCCACGGTCGCACAGCGCAGGCGGACGCCCTCCTCAAACAGGAGCGTGTCGGTCAGGTCGAGGTGAGCCGAGTGGAGGAACATGCTGACAGGCTCCCGTGTGCTGCCGTCAGAGAGCCGCAGCACCGGCGCGCCCGAAGCAGCTGCATCCGCGGCACCGGCGGCGGCGGCGCCTGCCGCGGGTACCCGTGCCGCTGATGCCTGGATTTCCGCATACACCACAACCTGCCCTTGCCTGCCAGTAAGGCAGTCCGCCAGCGGCACAGCGCCAAGACCGCGCCGTCGCAGCCACCACTCGGGCAGCCGGCCGCTCCGTCTATCTGGTGTGAACGCAGTGTCATCCTCCGCCTGCACATCCTGCACATGACGCTTGCCCCTGGAGCGGCGCGGACCCTGTGGGGTGCATGTATAGGCATTGGCATCGGTGGCCCGTCAAACAGGGCAGAGGCAAAGGAAGAGCAGGCGTCGCCGGAGCATGGAGACATCTCACCTTCAGGGCGCTCAGCAGCTGCGTCGCGATGACTGCCTCTGTCAGGCCGCTCGGGTACTGCTGCAGGATGCGCAGCAACTCAGCACAAACAGCCTGCTCGTGATGAGGCAAGGGGGCGAGGCGTTGTGTGGCGTCATGTGTACTTCGCGCTCGCGCACTCGGCCCGTGCTGCAGAGGAGCAGCTCGTAACGCTTAGCCGCCGCAACACAGCGCAAGAGCCCCTAACCAGCAAAGATACCTGAGGCGCAGCTCCAAGAGGTGCTGTTGTCACTAAATGTGACAATAAAGCCTCCATCCGGCTCAAACCCGCACTTCAAGCGATCTGGCGCGAAACTGCAGCACCACGCAAAGGAATGCAAACATCGAGCTCAATCAATACGTGAGATTCGTGCGTGATTAATGCGATGTCGGGTTGGGCGACACGAGTCGCAGTGTTGGCGCTCACGTGATAAAGTGGGCAAGACTTCACACAGTAGTGGAGTGCCGGGTGTGCCGCTGTGCCCCTGCAGCCTGTCAGCCTTGCTTGTTGTGGTGTAGATCAGGTGATTGAATTGAAGATGATTACTGGTTGCAAATTCTATTACGTCCTGTGTGTCATAGCGTCCCATGTGCTGCGACCCGCTGCGGCGTTGGCGGTCTATGCGTTTCCGTCGTTGCGCAGCACTGACCGACATTTCAGGCCACTCAAGCCCCGGCAGGAAGTAGGCTGCAGCAGAGATTGTGCGCAGACATCTATCCCACAGCAGGAAATCTCATTTGTTGTTCTGTGCTAATTGTCGGCATGTCCGCCTGCCGTACGTCAAGAATACCACAACCCCCCCACGTGACGCGGATCACAGCAGGCTCTTGCATACCCCCCAGCTCACATTGTCATTTGCTTCAGGCACCTGCCTACAGTGCTCCATTTGGGAGTAGGCACTGACGCGGAGAGTCCAGCCTTGCTGCACACTTACGACTGCTGTCGCGGCACCTCTAATGCAGGTGCACTCGCTGCTTCAAGCGCTGTCCTGCTTCCGCTTTGCTTTCCTGCGCATCTCAAATTTCAAATCCCTGCGTTGTCCAGAGGCTTGAGGGCTTAACTACTGCACCATCGTCTGCAGAAAGAGTTGTCGGGCCACACGCGTGGGGGGTCGGGTGACGGTGCGGTGCACCCTTCACCCTGTTCAGCACGTCCAGAGCTGCGCTAATGCCTCGGCAACGCATCACTCATTGCATTTATGCATGTGCGTGGAGGCATAAACGCATCAATGCACGGGTGCTGCAACTAGCATCTGAATTCGACCTCCCCTGCCCGGGCAAACATGGCAACACTGATGACAGCGATCAACGGACGCCACGGACGCACGCGCTGCGTGCATGGGTCTCCGGTGATTCCCATCCCGGGTCCAAAACTATCGCATCTCTGACAGCCTCCTATAGCAGCCGAATTTCGTGCGCAACTGATCATTTTGAACCTGGGCAGCTGTTGCGGCGTGCCCGCTCTCTTTCCGCAGCGTACTTATATAACCCGAGAGTCCTCACCACAGAATACGCTTGTGCTTTGTAAATTGGCTTGCACGGTTGTCGCACGGACACCGTACTCCGTGCGTCCCTTAGTCTCAGATCATTATCGCACTTGCAACAACAGCGGCCGAGCAACATGGGTTCACTGAAGCTGGTGTTGGTCGTCGCGTCCCTCTTGGCAGGTGAGATGGGTGCCGTTGACGCCGGTCCTTGTCTCGCAAGCCAGGTGCTGTTGCTAAACGCTTTGCCCGCCTTCCCGACCACAGGGCACGCTCCACAGCTCGTTAACGCAGCTGAGAGGACGTCCTTGGAGTCCTTGGAGGCGCCCTGGCAGCAGCCGCCTGCGATCCCCTCCCGCCTGTCAGGTGCGTCAACAAAGCGCGCTCGCAGCGCGTTTGAACCGCGCGCCATGCGTGGTGCAGCCCTCGGCCCTGCATGCCTGGGCCCTTTTGCACCTGCAGTCATGGAACCTCCCCTCAACACTGCCCCTTTCGGTGCTGCAACCTGCAGACCACCACATGATGCAACCCCAGTCAGAGAACCTGCCCCCGCATGAGGTGCGCAGGCAGGAAAAGCAGCCCATGATGTGGCGCAGCAGCCGTGTGCAGCATGCAGAGCCCCTGCTTATTTTCAGAAGTGTGCACCCCAAGTGCAGTCCATATCATGCCGGTCATTTACACATCCCACTCCTCCCACTTGTCCCTGTCCAACTTGCTGCATCGGCCAACACTTCCAATTCATCCCAGGATGCCGCCGCTGCTGACGACGTCATCCCAGACCCCGTTCTGGCGTTTGTGACGCAAACCCGGCTGCCAGCCGGTATTGCTGAGCGCCGCCTGCTCACCACTGGGAGCTACGGCTACGGCAGCACAGGCAGCTATGGTTATGGCTCCCCAAGCCCCAGCCCCAGCCCGTCACCCGTCCCCCAGTTCAATGACTCCGACCCCTGCAGCCCCTGTCAAGCATGCATCGTCAATTTGCAAGTGGGTCGGGTGCTGCTGCTGTCTATGACGTTTGAACAGCTGCGAGCGCTGCTCGACACCCCTTGGCTCACTTTCCCCACCGACCAAACCTGCACACCACCTGGTCAATTATTTCCACTGTCCTCTGACTCCCTGACAATCACCTCTTCCCTCCAATCCTCCAGGGATTTGCGCGCAATCTAAGTGCGGCCTACATTCCTGGCAACCTCAGCTTCGCCTACGCCGCCAGCGACATGTTCCTGCAGGCCTGCACCTCCGCTGGACAAGATCCTGCGGCATGCACCCTGCTCGCCAACGACATCTCCCAGAGCATGGACGGCAACCTCGCGCGGCGCCCTGCCGCGATGTGCTACCGCATGGGAGCATGCATTGCTGAGCGGATGTGCAACGGCACCATCTCAAACAACGGCACCCTGGTCACTGTCCCCCTGGATACATGCTCGGCTACTGGGCTGCTGGGTGGCCCTTTGGTTGGCACAGCCTGTGAGTGATCTGCAGCTAGCAAATGGGGGTGAATTTGTAGAGTGTTTGACAGCTGGGGCCTGTCGTGCATGCTAGTCGGGTGTTGCATGGCAAGGGTTGCAAACCCCATGTGCAGTCCCATGCAATGCGTTGCATGCCTCAACACTTGCCTCATTCTCAACCAAACCCGTTGCGCAGCGGTGGCTGCCAACAACACGTGCGGCGCAGACAGCGACTGCTCTGCCGCCGCGGGCCAGGTCTGCAACACCGCTGCCGGCAGCAACACCAAGGTGTGCTCTTGCAAGGACGGCATTGACACCTGCGTCTGGCGTGGTGTGTGCACCAGCTTCTGCGCCACTCAAGCCGACTACATTGCGGAACGCAACTCTCTGGTGCGAGCTGCTTTCACATCTTTGTTGAGCAGGGAGGCCAGGTGCTTGTAGAGCTTCCAATGGGATGTGGGCCATGTGTTTGAATGAAGAAGAGTTTCATGATGATGTCATGCACATGAATACACCATGCATGGGTGGGAAACGCATGGCTCATTTGCAAGCAGCTACGTCAACACCTTGCCTTGCAATGCACTGCCCGCACGCAGGTACGCACATGCACCATTGCGTCCCCGACCGAGTGCAACACCGGCGAAGTCTGCGTTGCCTCCAACAAGTGTTTCCAACTGCAATGCAGCGGCACCACACTGGCCACCACCGACTGCGCAACTGGCACAGGCCTCTGCGCTCCTGCCGTCCGCAAGCCAATCTCTGCCAGCTTCACATCCAGCGGCGATACCATTATGGTGACGCTCAATGCGCCGGCGCGACCCAGCATATTCCCCTGCAGCAAGCTCTTTGCCAACGATACGACGGTCCTCGGTGCAGAGGCGCTCTGCATGGCCGATGGCACCTCCTTGGAGGTCCACCTTGCTGCGTCCGCAACCCTCATCCCTGGCGGCAGCCTCGCCATTAGTGATGTGCAGCAGGTGCTGGTCGACGCACTGGCGCCCGCCTACTTTAACGGCTCCATCGCGGTCAACGCCTGTAGCGGAAGCTGCAGCCCGGCGGCCCCCAATGTCGTCCTCATGGCCCCGGCGGTGCGTTCATTCTGGCGGGTGTAGGTGGGAAAGGGGCCCAGGGTGCGCTCAGTCAGACACAAGTCTACATGGTGCCCCAACCTCAACGCACACGTCGCTGCCCTGACAATGCCTCCTGAAATGCGCGCCCCTGCCGGTCCAGGTTGCCACCAAGGCTTGTAATGCCAATGAGGAGCTCGACATTACCCTGGACGCACGCCTGTCCACTGACCCATCAGGCCGCCCGTTAAAGAGCTTCAGATGGGCCTACACGTCTGCTGTGAATGACACCAGGCTGGATGCAGTTATTGCTGCTGTCAACGCACAAACCACGGCCATGTGAGTTGCTTGCGCCCGTTAATGGGATGAAGAGGGCAAGCGATCGGGAACAACTGTCTGGTTTGTCGCCTTGCCACTATGGCGCAGGGTTAATGCTTTTTGTCCTTCAGCTTGACCACCTGGAATGACTCTGCTGAGATCTACCATCCCTTCCTCTCCGACCCCTGCCCAAACCACCGCAGCAACCAAGCCAAGCTGGAGATTGCCTCTGCCGACTTGGCCGCCATCGCCGTCGGCAACTACACCTTCAATGTCACTGCCACCAATTTCCTTAATGTGTCGGCCTGGGCCACGCGTCGCGTCATTGTGGCCGCTGCCGGGGCCGCCCCTGTCATCAGCATCGTGGGGCCATTGGTGCAGGAATATCAGATCAGCGAGGGCTTTAAGGTTTCAACCACTTTGGTCCCGGAATCCGTCTGTTCCGGCAGCTCGGTGAGGCATATGGCGGGACACAGGGCTTGACCGTGGGCGCTCAGTAATGTTCGTTGGTTCATCCTTTGCGAAAGCTTGTTGAGGGCAAGCTGTTGATTGTGGCAGAACGGCAGCTTTGCATAGTGAATCAGAAACACTGCACCTGCCGGCGGACACCCACTTGCACCGCCGTTTCCCCACTCTGTCAGGTGGTCTACGAGTGGACCTCAGCCGACGCCACGCCCTGGTCGGCCATCCCTGTCGGCTACAACCGCAAGACCCTGCTCGTGCCCGGCCCCATCCGTGGTGCCATTGACGGCCAGGTCAACACCATCAAGCTGCGCGCCTACATCTCTGGCAACGCGGGCGCGGCATCTGAGGCCACCGTGCAGCTCAAGGCGCTCGGCGCACCACTTGCTGCTCGCCTGCGCGGCCCCACCGGCGACTTCAAATCCACGGCCACCATGTGCGTGTGTGTGCTTTGGATGCAGCATGTGGATGCAGGTGGCTGGGGATGCTGTCTTTTCTATGTGTTCGACCAAGTGCTTTTGCTCTCCAATTCAACTGAGGGCGGTCTTTGTCAATTTAAGCAGTAGTTTACCCGTGACACAGGAACTCGCTGCAGCGTGCACCCCAATTTCATTTGGGCACCCTTGCTGACCTCAGCTCGCCTCTCCCCCCGCAACTCACCACCCTCAGCGTCCTGAACGCGACCGACTCATTTGACCCCGATGACCGATTCAACCAGAACCCCTTCGTCTTCCAGTTTGACTGCGCACGCGACGACGATCGCCCTTGCTTCGGGACTGCCGGGCGCGGCAACGTGCAGGGCGGTGTCTGGACGATCCCGGGCGGCGCGCTGACCGTGGATCACAACCACACCTTCACTGTCACCGTCAGCAAAGGTAGGGCCGATGGTACGGACTGAGCCCGGCAGGGTGTGGATGAGGAGAGGGGCTGCTTGCGTCATGGAAGCACTGGCTGGTTCCAAATCGAGAGGGGTGCTGCAGGTGCAAGGACCCGGCTTGCGGCTAACGATTGACTGATACCTTTCTGTTGGCCATACCTCACCTGCAGGTGGACGCTCAGAGGTGGCGGTGCTGCAGGGCGTACGGCCCCGCCCTGCTGCCGTGCCCACTGGCAACATCGCCCGTGTCTGCGGCACTGTGATGTGCCCCCCGCAGCACTCGGCTGACCAACCCCTGAGTCTCGCACTTCGCCTGCCAGCGGCGTTTGCAGCGGCATCTGTTGAGTGGACCAGTGACCAAGTCACTCTTACAGGCCTCAGCGTCTCAGCCTTGGACCTGACCATCCCCGCCACGCTGCTGCCACGCGGCGGCTGGGTGACCGTTGCTGCCAAGCTCATGCTGTCTGGCCAGACGGGCGTTGCAACCATCTCTGTGCCCCTCAACAGCGCCCCCTACTGTGCCGGTGCGGCTTCCACCAGCTGCCTGGTACTGGACACCAAGAGCGACACGTTCCCTGGCGCTGAGTTTGTTGTTTCGGCCTCCACCTTCGCCGACGACGGTGGCACCTCTGGTCTCACGTGAGTCCGCTTCTTGTGTTAGGGGAGGCGGGCAAAAAGTGCTTAGTCTTGATGCGCAACACGAGGGTGGTAGGGTTTGCGGGCTGGCCAAGCTTTTGGTGGCTGGCGGCCCTCTGCACGGTGCTGCACCTTTGCCCTCACTCAACCACCCCTTCCTGGTCCCTTCCTCCGCTTCTCAAACCCCCCAGCTATGAATTTGGTGTTGTGATCAACGGCCAGCCATCGCCGCTGCTCATCGACCTCGCATCTACCTTCAAGTTTTCCAACCTGGCTCGCGGTGCAAGCACCCTGTACGTCCGCGCCGTTGACGGGCAGGGCGCTGCAATCACGGTCACGCGTGCCGTAATCGTCAGGGACCCGCCAGCAGGCTTCAATGCCAGCGCCACCATCGCCAGCATTGATGTGACGCGTGCGGCGGCCACCGGTGACCCTGCTGCCCTCAACCAGGCAGCCATGGCGATTGCGTCACTTGCACAGGTTAGCGGTGCTGTAGACAGAAAAGCTGTCAACTGAAGTCGCAAATGCGTGTGCAGCGCTATCAGGCACCGCGATTGCGTCCTTCCCGCCAAAGTGATTTTGGGCTGCTTGTGCTTGCTTCAACAACATTCCCAACCCATGTCTTCCCTGCACCCTTCCTTCCCGCAGTATGGGTTTTCATCTGCTGGCAATCTAACCGTGACGGCCGAATTCACCACGGGCGTCGACACTAAGGCTGGCGCGGTGCTAGCTGCAAGCAGCAGGGCGCTTGATGCCAAAGACCCCGAGTCGGCGCGCACCACGGCTGCAAGCGCCGCAGGCGTGGTCAAGGTCATGACGCATATGGACAGGTGAGGAGGGGAGAAGCCTATGAGTGGCAGTGCTGGTGGACGACAACGTGAGCCGTGTCCTTGTGGTGCGAACGCACCTGTACAGACCCTGCTGCACACCTGTGCTTAGGCTCTCTGAACCCTGCCGTGTTTTCGCTGCCATACTCCCACACCAACAGTGCCACCAAGGCGGCAGTGCTCAACATTGGCAAAAACCGTGAGCGCCTTGGCTTTTGAAGGGTTCAGGCCCAGGCAGTGCAAAACAACTCCAACACGGGCACGGTCCTGGCTGCAGTTCCGACATGAATCCCAGCCCCGGCTTGCCACCTCATGTGCATCAGTCATTCTCACTCACAAATACTTGTGCCTCTGCCTGTGCCCACACGCAGTTGTCCTGTCTGCCAAGGTTGCTGCCAAGCCCATCTCGCCGGCTGTCGCCTCGAACGCCGTGCTTTTGCTTCAAAACGGGGCCAGCAAGAGCAGCACTGTCAACCGCGGTCAACAGCAGCGGCGCTCGCTGCTGCAAGCCGACGCTTCAGCTGCACAAGCAGCCGCATCAGCGCTCGGTAATGTCACCTCGGCTGTCAACGACATGGCGGACATGCTCGCCCTTGGGGCTACGCCCGCAGACGGCTATCTCGCTGCTGGCGACGCTGGCGCGTGGGTTAGCGCCGCCAATACTGTTGGCCGCGCGCTCAATGCGCTGCCGCTGCAGGTTGGCTCGACAGCAGCCGGCGTAACCTCAGCGATTGACAAGGCAACAAACGCACAGCTGCAGTTTTACGGGCAGTTTGTGGGTTTCTGCAGCACTGTGGACGACAGCGGCGTGGAAACCGAACAGCCCTGCCCCGCGGGTCCTGTCACTGTCGGCGCACAGTTTTATGAGGACGCGGCGCTCTTCGCCGATGTCCGAACGGCCGCTGGCCTGCCACTGATCGCCAACGCTAGCAGCTTGGCCGGCCTCGCGCCTGCATCTGGCGTGGTGGTGCTGGCCGTGTCTGGCTCCAACAACCTTGATGCGTCGTTGCCCTGTTCTGGCGCATGCGGTGTACGGATTCAGCTGCCGCTGACGGGCACTGCAGCCGAAGTCGCCTCAACTGCTGCGGCTGCAGCCAACCCTGCCGCCAGCCGCCGGCGCCTGCACCAACTGGTGCTCAACGCCACCGCCCAGCTGGCTTGCCTGCGCATGGAAGCTGGCCAGACAGTATTTGCTGGCTATCCAGCCGATCCAACTTACGCCGTCACTGAGGTTGTGGCAGCGTCAGTCAACGCCACCAACGGCCTTGCAACCTGCACCGTGACGCGCTCCGGCACGTAAGTTTGCTTGGTGCAAACCCTCACCTCCCCTTGCTGAGCGCCGCGTTTGGCTGCTGGTACTTGCAGCCTTACCTGTCTTGCTGCACCTAGGGGGCTTGCCTGGCATCACTCCCTGCCCCTTGCCCCACCTACCAAACCCAGGTACTTGCTTGCTGCCTTCACACGAGCCGCCGATGCCAACACCACCTTCCAGGCCCCCAGCGGGTCCACTCCCCACGCCTTCCGCACCCATTTTGCCGGCATGGACTACGACGCCCTCATGGCCAATATCACACGTCGCGACCAATTTAAGAGCGACATCCGCACCGCCGTGGCGCGCGCTGCAAGCCTTGTGGCGGCCAATGTGGAGGTTGCCAACCTCACACGTGGCTCTGTGGTGAGATTCCAGGGCTTGAGAGCAAGCAAGAATCCTCGGATACATGGTTGCAATTGTGGCTGCAGTCATCAAAGACCAGCTCAGCACCACAGCGGTTTTGGCAGCCTCACATTGTGCTTGAAGACCACGGGACGCTCTCAACCTTATCCAAACTGCCCCCTGGTGGCCCTCTCACCCACCCACAGGTCGCCGATGTTGTCGTGTACACTCCCAGCACCTGGACATCCAACCAGATCAACGACTTTGCCTCAATGATCACGAGCAACCCCTCTGCTGTTTTCAATGCCGCCTTCCTGGCCGCATACCCCGACATCACCAGCATTTCCGTCGTTGCCACGACAACCTTGCCGCCTCGCCAAGGGCTCACAATGAACCAGAAGATCGGCATCGGTGTGGGTGTCGGCGTGGGAGTGCCGCTCGTGGCGGGCGCGGTTGGATTTGCCGTGCTGCGACGCCGGCGCCGCATGGCCGTCGAGCCTAGGGGCGCACTTGGCGGCAGCGCGGACCAGCTCGCCTGACAAACACGAATATGATGTCTCATACTGCGCGCTGTGAAGGCGCTTTCCTTGCTCATATCTCTGCACTGCATGCCAAACCCTTTGGCGTGGCTGGCCTTTGCTTTGACGCAACCCTTGAGGACTCTGACCCCGAAACCCCTGCTCCTGCATTGACCCTGAAGCGAACAGCACCTCATCTATGGCCCCCTGCAGCCGGCCACATGCATCGCCTGTCTCCCCAAGCTCGCCACTTCCCAAGTTCACAAACCTTTGCGCGGATGAGGCCCATTCCACAAACAAACTCTTGATGCTGGCATGGGGACCCTTGCCCCCTGCATCCATTCTTGTTCCAGCCGCACTGTGCGTGCTCCGCAACGGCAACAGCCGCCGTTTTTGCCCAAGCACCTGGCACCCTGCATGTTTGTTTGCTTGCCTTTTTGTTCATGCTTTTCACGCTGCTGATTACAGCCTTCAAGTCTTCCCGTCGTTCAGATATACTCCACACACATCCCTTGGTCATGTCCTAGCCCGCGGCACGTGTGAGTAACACCTGGATGGCTGGAGCCCACATTGGCTTGACTGGATATGAACGGCATCGCTGCCGCACATGCGCGTACCCCAAGCACCCCCCCATGCTGGCGTGTATCACCAGAGAACCACTTCTGTGAGATTGCTGGGCGGCAATCGCGATGTGCGACCAACGTGGCACGACGCGGCGCCCGTGGGGATGGAGGAGGAGCGAGGCGCATCGGCGGATGTGGTACATGGCGGGAAGCTGGGCTTGCTCCATGTGCTTGCTTGTGACTATACGTACGACAAGCAGCTACCAAGTTGACATTAATACACAAGGCCACAGTCGGCTGTTGGCCGCATTTATATTGGTCAGGTCGGCTCACCCGCCGCGCCATTTCACCAGTTCTTGGCCCAGAGCGGCCAAGCCCCGGGTGACTGGGCTTGCAGGGTGCCAACTAATCGTGATGCTTGCTTTCGTGGCGCTGGCACTGGCGGTGGTGGCCTCGGCGGTAAGTTGTGATCTCAGCTACCTGTCAGCCGGTGGCACTGTCCGCTATGTGAGCATGTGAAGTTTTCAATGATAAAATATGATGACGCGATGATGTATAACGGTGTTGGCATCGGGCGATGTGTGGGCTGGGCACGAGCGAAGCGCATCGGCAAGCGTGCTGGGCGCCGGCAGACGCACCTGCAGCGGTCTGGCCAACCACCTCGGTTGCTCCTCAGCACGGCCGGTACCAACATGCCAATCGGCCAAACTTCATGAGCATTTCACACGCCTAATGTTGACAGCAGGATACCTTGCCTGGCCCTGCACCCAGCTGCACGCAAAATGCGCTTGGTAAGTGCTCGTCTCAGCGGCCACACGGCGGGTCGCGATGCATTTCTGTGTTCAAGGGTTGGTCAATTTCGATTATGCAACTGAATGCAATGGTGCCGGCCACAATCACCATGGCTACCACACTGTTAAGCGCCATCTGGACGGTCAACCTCGCACTCAACAATCCCCTTTGTCCTGTCCATGCAGACAACATCGCCTTTGGTGTCGCTGGCGCCGCCTACCAGGTGCGCCTCTAGCTGCGGCCCTGCCAGGATCACGGGATCTTTATCGGGGGGAACTCCTGCCTGCCGCCTCCGCGCCGGCATCTCCCTGTCGCCCACGGGCCCGGCAGTCCAGACCCGCCTCCTCAGCAGCCCGCCAACTTTGCCCCCCCCCCCGCCCCCACAGACCGAGGGCTCCCCCCATGCAGATGGGCGCAGCCCCAGCATTTGGGACGTGTACGTTGAGAAGAACCCCAAAAAAATCCGCGATGGCTCGACCGGTGCCGTGACGTGCGACCACTACCACCGCTTCAAGGAGGACTTTGCCCTCATGAAGAAGCTGGGCGTCAAGAACTACCGGTCAGCAGGCCACCACGTACAGTCTCTTTTTTTGGGGGGGGGGGGCGTGCAGGACCAGCCGCGCAGGGTTAGCACCATCATTTGATTTGACGGGCAGCGCTGTGTTTTTGGCCAAGCGGACATGAGGTCAGAGCCACCGCAGCTGATCCAAGGTTGCGGGAGGGGGGGGAGGGGTACATCGGCAGGAGCTGCATGAGAGGCGCCAGCGCGTGGCAGACTGTCAGGGGCGTTGTCCTGTGGACGGTCTTGGTTACGCAGTGTGGCAGGGGCTGCTCAAGCTGTCCCTCCGGAGGATGGTGCAGGGCAGGTGCAGGGCAGGTGCAGAGCGACCCAGGCAACAAGCACTTGGCTACCTCACTCACGCCTCCCTCAACCTGCCGGTGTCGCTGCCCCCTGCCCCCCGGGCCCCCCAAGGTTCTCCATCAGCTGGGGCCGCATCGTGCCCAGCGGCCGCAAGGGCGGCGCTGTCAACCCCAAGGGCGTGGCCTTCTACAACGCTGTGATCGACAGCATGATCGAGAATGGCATCAGCCCGGCCGCCACTCTCTACCACTGGGACATCCCCCAGACCAACCAGGACGAGTACAAGGTGGGAGAAGGGGACACAGAGGGGGCCGTCACAGGCAGGGGCAGGGTGCGGTGTGTGTGTGTGTGCATGCATGCGCGCGTGCGCGTGCATGTGATTCAGCGGATGTAAGTGCTCATGTGTTAGTGAGTGCTTTGTTGATGCTGCAGGGCCAAAACTGCAGCAGCATGTAGCCCAATCCTGCTGCTTTTGCGGGGCACCTGGGTGCCTCCCACATTCATAGCGCGACACCCCCTGCCGCTTGCCGCTGCCTGTCCCCCCATGCATTCCCCAGGGCTTCTTGGGCCGCGAGGTGATTGACGACTTTGCCTATTTCGCCGACGTGGCCTTCAAGCACTTTGGGGACCGCGTGAAGAAGTGGATCACGTGAGGGGTACAGGACGAGGCATGGTGGATTGAGTTGGCGATCCATCTGGATTGGCTGCAGGGCTTCTGTCGCGTTGTGAGCAGTGCATGCCACGCCACTGTCCACTCCACAGGGGCTGCCCCCGGGTCCGCATCCAGCACCCTAGAGGTCTTTCATCTCAGCCGTGTTTTCAAGACTGTTCATTGTGCAGCGCGGGGCCTTTACCCCTCAAACTCACCGCCTCCCGCCGCCCTCTCTACCAGCTTCAACGAGCCCTGGGTAGTGTGCAACATCCAGTGGGGCAACGGCGACTTTGCCCCCGGCGTCAACGAGGGCGAGAAGGGCAAGTGGCTCTGCGGCCACAACCTGCTGCTCTCACACGCTGCTGCTGTCAAGGTGGGCCATGGACCGAGTGTTGGCTGCAATCAGCAGGGCTCCCTCTTAGTGCACAGGGTTGAACATGGGTATTGCGCTGTGCACCTACCCAGCAGCTGCGAGTATACATTACCACTCTACACACCTTGCCTGAACCTCACGCCATGCTCCCACGCAAACACTCAGCCGTTACATTGGCCCGACACACAAACACCCTATGCGAACCCCCATCCACCCCAACCTCCTCAGGTCTACCGCGGCAAGTTCAAGGCCCAGAAGGGCAAGATCGGCATGGCTCTTTGGAGCGAGTGGAGCGAGCCCTACACCGACGCCCCCGAGGGTGCGGGCCTGCCCATTCACTGACACCTGCACGTTGGGGCCTGGCGCACGTCGCCTCACTTAGCAAATAGTCTTGCCTGGCGGGCAGACAACCCTCTGCGCCAGCCTGTCTCCCGCGTATGTCCTTGCCCCACCGCCCCTCAATCGCGCAGCACCGACCCGCCCTCGCGTCCTTCAACTCCTGCCCCACAATCCAATTCTGATTTCCGACCTGCACACAACGCGACAGACAAGCGCGCCGCCCAGAACAAGATGGACATCGACTTTGGCTGGTTTGCCGACACCATTCACTTTGGCGACTACCCCCCGCTGGTCAAGAAGCTCAAGGCCGCCTACCTGCCAGAGTTCACGGAAGCCGAGAAGCAGCTTCTCAAGCGCAGCTACGACTACGTGGGCATGACGCTGTACACGGCCAAGTATGCGCACTACAACGGCAACCCTGACGGCTGGTGGGTGATGACCAAGGACAAGGACGGCAACATCCTCGGGGAGCAGGTGGGGGCCGTGGGCGAGGCGCCCGCTGTATCGCAGCAACCGAGGCGCCGCAGGGGTTTTTAATTATTTGCGGGTATTGAGGGCTCGGATTGCAGCAGCTGAGGGTACTGAAGTCTTGGGAGGCAGGCTGCATGCTTAGCCAGGACCTTGCATTTGTTATTGCCTGCCATCCTACTTCAATGTGCGCCCTCTGTCCCATTCCACCCACCAAACGCATCCCTGTACCGCCCCAAAACCTGTAAACCTCTTCAATCCCGCCGTGTCCCTGACCCTGCAGGCGGAGTCCTACTGGCTGTACAACGTGCCCTGGGCCATCAACCGCATGCTCAACTACCTGGACAAGCGCTACGACCGCCCCGAGATCTGGATCCTGGAGAACGGCATCAGCGAGAAGGGGGAGGCCGCCAGGGTGGGCGCCGCGCGGCTGCACGACCCGCTGCGCACCAAGTACTTCAGCGGCTACGTGGACGAGGTCTGCAAGTGAGTGCGGCGGGGAGGTGATGCCAAGATGACGTGCGTCTAGGAATGGCAAGTGCAGGGAGGGGGGGTTCATACCTGAACGCAGGCTGCCGTTCAAGGCTGCCCAGGTTTCAAGGGTTGAGGATGCCAAATGAGATGAAATACCGCAAGGTGGGGTGTGTCTCGAGGCGTGGGCGTGGCCGCACCGCTCGTCCGCGCCCTGTTTGCTCAAGCCATACACCCACTACACAATTGCCCTGGAAACCCCCTTAGGGCCCAGCAGACTGGCGTGCGGCTGACGCACTACTTCATCTGGTCGTTCATGGACAACTGGTGCGTGGGCTTGCGGACGGCCCCAACGGGGACTACGGCAGGCTTGCAGCACCCACGCGCCCTGACTGCGTCCCCACTCCATTTGATATGTGATCTTGCAGCTCAGCAGGCCGTGCCTCGACATCCATCTGTGACCTTTTTTAGCAACGTATGAGCAGCACTCCACTCTACACCCCACAACTCACCTAACCCACCAGGGAGTGGCGCGAGGGCTTCTCCACGAGGTTTGGCATAGTCCGCGTCGACTTTGACAACAAGAACCTCACGCGCACGCCCAAGACCAGCGCCACATGGCTGCAAAAGAACATTTTCAGCCGTTCCCAGAAGAAGTAGAGGCCCTTTCAAACGGCGGTGGAACGGGTAGCTGTCGCTGGAGATGCAAGGCGAGCCTCTGTTCGGCGCCTGACTTTTGGCATTTGTCACCTGCGCCGTCCGGCTCTCTGCCCATCCCCTTGACTTCTGGGCCCACCTGGGCTTCAATGGCAACGGGCAGCAGCTGGCTTGATGTCGCAACTGGCGCATCGTTTGTTGCAAGCCCGCAGCGGGCTCTGTTGGGCGAGCTGGCCGCGGAAATGTAGCTGGGGTTGGTTGGCCTTGCTGGGCGCCTTGATTGTGCATACAGCAACGCGTGAGGGGTACAGCGCGTTGACGACGAAGCCTGCGGGCCACACATGCAACCTGAATGGGGCTGCGCTGTGTGCTTGCTGGTAGTGTGTGGCAGTCAACTCAACACTCCCTGCATCAACTATATAACGTCTGGGGGCACCAGTTTTGCTGTTCGCCTCCTTGGTTGTGGTGCGGCAGCGGACTCCGTTCCAGCTGAACTTTCATGGCGGCCTTGCACTCGCACTGTCCGCTGTCGCGCAGCGTACGTAGGGCTGCATGCCACCCTGCAACTTGGGTGCTCCCGACCTGGCTCGCAGGCACAGGCACACCGGTGGCTCTGTGCCGCCCTCGTCCCGTCCTGCCTGAAGTTTCTACAGAGCCAGCGCCAAAGCTGTGTTGAGCCAGCTGCTGCTGTGCCCCTGCTTTCATCAATTTGCCGCCGCCTGATGAGGGATGTGAGGAATGTTGCCCATTTGTGGTGAGCTTCTAAGAAGCTACACGTATACTTGTGGGGGGTAGCGCCACTGCTTGGATGGACCTGGCTATCTCATGCATAAATCCAATTCTCATGGACACAAGTGCACCTAGCTGTGCAAAGAGGCCGCTGCTAGAAATGCTGATTGCAGGCGTTGCTTGAGCACAGGCTTCAGGTTGTATGTGCCGTTCATGTAACCCCAACAAGTTCTGATGCTGACAAACAACGGCAGAGCATGAACAAACACACACCGTCGAGCAGCGGATGGATGCACCACACCACAGGCTGAATCAATCGCGTTCCAATCGCGTGCGATTCATGTGTGGCAACGGACGTGCAGCCGCCATCGTACTCAACATCATTGCAGCAGGTGCGTTGTGACTGAGACGCCATTCTCAGACTTCTGCAGCTGTCGAGACCACCATCATTCGCGGCCACATCAGACTCAGCACAGGTGCCACGAAGGCATGATCTGCAGAGGCCACAGCCCGTGCACTCCAGGATGGCTTGTCCAGTAGCAACCTGCCCACCGCATGCTCCCCAGTCAAGCAGCGGCCTCCGTAAGGTTTGAAAAGCAAGCCGTGGAGCCCACAGCTTTGAGGTCTACAATGAAATTAGTCATAGCACCATGAAACCACACGGCTACGGGTGTGGCGCCGTTCTAGCAATGTAGCTTACTGCCGCGGCAGCGGCGGTGTCCACCGCCCCCCTTTTCTTTGCGCCCACAGAGTTGTTGCCTTACTCACCTGCCAGCGTTTGGATGTGCCTGCAGGTTTCCTTCAGATGTTGTAATAATAAAAGGAGGTCGCAGGCCTCCAAGACGACTCTGCCACGTGACTTGATGACGTACTGGGACCGATGACCTTACCAGGCAGAGCGTGTCTGTGACAGCATGCAGATTGTTTGACTGCCTCTAAGCCTCCATCCACAAGCACTCAAGCAGCAGCCGGCCGTCCCAACAATCCATGTGCCTTCGAAACGCATTCCACTGAACTTCTGGACAGGAGTGAACGATGTCACATGCAGCATTGCAGCACCCGGCGAGTGCAGCACCCGGCTGCATGCCTGACTCCGGCCATGACTAAGGCGGCGTTGTTGCAAAAGCTGCACTGGTGGAAGTGTGCTATGTGAGAAGTGGGAATCACACAACCATAGGAACCCTCGTTCGCTCTCTTGCAAAACGGACAAGATTACCGTAGCAACAGTGCCGCAAGTTCGCCAGCGGATCAAACGCGGCCCATTGCCTCACGCTCCTGGAAGAAATCCACAGACGATTCGATCCAGCAGAAACTCGCGGACACGCAGCTAAGCCGACACGCAGGGGCGACCGGGCGCAGCGACGCCGCAAGCGCTGCTTCTGCTGCCAGCCAGGACATCAGGCGCCATTTATCGAGCATAAGCCATCAGAAAGCCACCACACAGCCAGCAGGCGGTCATGGCAAAATATGTAATCGGTGTGGACGGTGGTACAGAGAGCTTGCGCGCCGGCGTCTTCGATGCACAGGGTGAGACAACAAGCCTAACGGCTTGCCAACAGCGAGGTTCGCTGCATCAGCCGCAGCTTAGTCATCCCTGCGAGTGTGGAAGACTGTCGCTGGCTGCATTTGGCAGTCACGATCAACACGCTCTGTGGCTGTGCATGACCGCTCCCGACGCAGCCAAGGTCGTCTGCTCACGAAGCCCCTCGCGCTGCATTCTCAACCAAACCCCGCAACCACCCAACCATGCCCTCCCTCGAACAGGCCGCCCCTTGGCGTTTGCCAGCAGCCCCTACCCCACATCCTACCCCCACCCCTCCTGGGCGGAGCAGAGCCCCGAGGACTGGTGGACCGCCCTGGGGGCCGCGGTGCGCGCCGCGGTGGCGCAGGCAGGGGTGTCACCCGGTGACGTGGCGGCGATGAGCGTGGACACCACCTGCTGCACAGTGGTGGCGCTTGACGCTGAGGGCCGCCCCTTGCGGCCCGCACTGCTGTGGTGGGTGGCAGGGGGATGGGCGAGGCGTGGGGATCGCCAGAGGCAGCCCGCACCATGGGGGGAGGCAGTGAGGGAAAGGGGGGATGCGGGGCGGTGCTGAGTGGACGCAAGAAACTCAAGGATCTGGCGTGCCAAGCGGCCTGCGTCATCACACGAGCAGCAGATGTGGCTTTCCTGTGCAGTTGCCGAGTGGTTCCCGCGCCCCCCCACATGCGCTCTTCCCCATCGCCCCAGGATGGACATGCGGTCTGCAAGGCAAGCCGCGCAGGTCGCTGCCTGCGGAGCGCCCGAGCTGCGCGTCAATGGCGGCGGCGGCGGCCCCGTCAGCGCTGAGTGGATGGTGCCCAAGGCGCTGTGGCTGAAGCAGGAGGAGCCCAACACCTACATCGCGGCCCACTGGATCTGCGAGTATCAGGTGGGGCGGGGGGGAGATGTTATCCCAACAAGTAGATGGGGAGGGAAGGGTCCCTTAGCTGATCAATGTGTTGAGGGGAGGCCGTGATGGCAGGCGCTAGCGGGGAAAAGGTGATGTATATAGTGTGGAATGTGTGCAGCTTCCCGTTGTTGCAGGTCTGCTGGGCAAGGGCAATCGCGCAAGGGCAATCGCGCCTGACTGTTGCCTGCGATCGTGCCAAGAACCCTTGCTTCGCGTTGTCCCTGCAGCACGTGACTGCTGACTACAGCACAATGGGTGTTTATCACCCGCACACCTTGGCTCCGTTACCCTCATTGTTGCCGCGTAACCCTTCTCTGGCAGGCCCCCTTCATCACCCTCCCAACCCTCCAAAGCTTACCCCCTGAACCCTGAACCCTGAACCCCGAACCCTGAACTCTGAACCCTACCCCCCCATCACCAGGACTACCTCAACTACCACCTCACGGGGGCCATGGTGGCGTCAGTGGACAACGTGGCCATACGCTGGCACGGCAGCGACGGGCCCCCCCTGGAGCTGCTGCGGCGCCTGGGCATGGAGGAGCTGTCGGGCAAGTGGCCCCAGGAGGTGCTGCAGCTGGGGGCGCGCATAGGAGGCGGCCTCACCGCCAGGTGCGGGGTGCAGGGCTGGAAGATGATCGTGGTGTTGAGTCATATGGGGGTGACAGCATCGTATCCTGTTTGCTGTTCCAGCTGCTTTCAGGATATATGATGCCGCGCGCGCTCTTAGTGAAGGGTGCCGCCGATGATGAGCCACTTGTTGCACGGCTCGTTGGTCAGAGCGGCCTGCGAAGCTGCATCTCGCACAGAAATCTCGCATCGACTCGTCCCGCTCACAAACACGTCAGGGCCGCGGCGCACCTGGGCCTGCCCGAGGGCCTGCCCGTGGCCCAGGGCGGCGCGGACGCGTTCATCGGCGTCATCGGCCTGGGCGTCATCGCCCCTGGTGACATGGCCATGCTGACGGGCTCCAGCCATCTGCACATCGGCATGACAGACCGCCCACTGTCGGGCAAGGGCATGTTTGGGTCCTACAGGGGGGCGGTGCTGCCAGGGGTGCACGTTGTGGAAGGCGGGCAGGTGGGTAGCAGGGCCCGCGGCTTGCATGGGTGGTCGCATGGCCGCGGTAGGTGACGGTGGGCAGCGGGCAGCAGTGTGGCTGGATTCAGGCAGGCGTGTCTGAAAAGAAGGCGACAGATCAGCACAGATGGTGTTTGGCTGCTGCAGCTCTCTCCTTTCCCGGACATGGTGGCTTTGTCTGCAGTGTCTGTCACAGGCAGGAATCATACCTCAGGTTAACCACTCCCCAACCTGCTGATCGCCCATCTTGATTGAAATACAGACCAGCACGGGCAGCGCGGTCAACTGGCTGCGCCGCGGCCTGATGGGGGGCGCGGTGGACTACGCCGACCTTAACGCGGAGGCGGAGGCGGTGCCACCCGGCTGTGAGGGGCTGGTGTGCCTCGACCACTTCCAGGTGTGCGTGTGATGGGGAGGTGGGGGTGGTGGGGTGTGTATGCCGATTGGGCAGGGGGTCGTCAGGGAGCATGACCAGATCACATTGGCGGGACAGGGTGAGGCACAGCAGGGGTAGCGCACCTGTATCTGTTGGCTTTTTGAATGTGTCAAACCCAACACCTCTCAAACGACACGCGGTGCGTCGAAGGGTTGTGCCGTGCTGCGCCCTCCGTGCAGACCTCTCCTGTAGTCACCCCTTTGCCCCGCCAACCTGCACGCCTCCCCTCGCACTTCCTACCTGCCACGTGACCCTGCCTTACGGCCGCCCCTGGCACGCAGGGCAACCGCACGCCCCACACCGACCCACTGTCGCGCGGCGCGCTGGTGGGCTTGACGCTGAAGCACACGCGCGGCCACGTGTTCAGGGGCCTGGTGGAGGCGGTGGCCTTTGGGACTGAGGCCGTGCTGGAGGCCATGAGGGGCGCGGGGTACAGGTGGGGGCCAAGGAGAGGGGGGATTGGCGGGGGTCACCCTGATCAGGCTGCAAGGTGGTGTGAGCTGGGACGGCAGCTGAGACATGCACGGCCGTCGCCTGCGACCCCTCCAATGGCATGCTCTGCTGCAGCCCTTGACCTACTGGTCCCCTGCATCAGGCCAGTGCCATGTGACCGCTCCCTAGATTGCTGACGCTCGTGCTGGATTGTTTTGCCATTGATAATCCTGCTCTCTGCTAATCCTATCTTTGCGCTCTGCCCCTGGCCCCTGGCCCGCCGCAGCCCCACGAGCCTGACCATCGCGGGGGGCGCCACCAAGAGTGAGCTGTGGATGCAGGTGCACGCTGACGTGTCAAACCTGCCACTGCACCTCACAGAGTGAGCCCAGGGGGGGAGGAAGGGGGGCTGACAGAAACGTGCTTGGGGTTGCGTGAGGGCTATTCGAGTGAAATACTTTGTGGAAGGAGCGGGCACGGGAGAAGAGGGAGAGGTCCTTGGCAGGGGCGCGGGGGGGGGGGGGGGAGCAAAAACTGGGAGGACGCGCACTCGCGGCCCCTGCCTGTTTCCTGTGCTGGGCGCCCGCCACACTCACAGGGATACCAGCCCAGTGCTCACCCTGTCGACCCGCGCTCCACTCCGCAATGCCGCATGTTGCATCACCCGCCCATGAAGGGTGCCCGACGCGCCGGCACTGGGCTGCGCCATCCTGGCTGCCGTCGCCGCCGGCCTCCACCCCGACATCCCCACTGCCGTCAAGGCCATGGTGCGCGTGTCCCGCACCATCACCCCGGACCCACAGCGCCATGCGGTCTACAGGCGGCTCTACCAGGAGCGCTACTCAAAGCTCTACCCGGCCCTCAGGCCACTCTTCCACGCCGGCCACGACCACGCACCCACACCAAACGGCGCCCCTGCAGTCGAGGAGGGCGCCTCGGGACAGTGGGCGGCGGCGGCGGCAGAAGCAGGGGAGGCGGCGCGGCAGGGGCGGCAAGGGGAGGAGGGCGGCGGGCTGCCGCGGGCCATCGTGTCACCCTCCATCTTGGCGGCGGACTTTGCGTGCCTGGGGGACGAGGTGGAGCGGGTCCTGGCCGCGGGGGCGGACTGGATCCACGTGGACATGTTTGACGGCGGCGCCATCGCAGGCGGAAACTTCACGATTGGGCCCCCGGTGGTGGCGGCGCTGCGGAAGCGGGCGCCTGGGGCGTTCTTGGACTGCCACCTCGCGGTGCAGGTGCGCTGGCTGTTGGTTGGGAAGGCTGGGGCTGTTGTGGCAACGGTGAAGGCTTGACGCATCTTCTGCTGGACTCACCATCGGTGACGTCCTCTCAGCTGTGTGGACCCCCCCGTCCAGGGCTCTGCGAGGGGAGGGGCTCGGAGCCCCCTCCGCTTGTCATGGATGCACACACTGTCATGGCCACTGGCGCTCTACAAGCCACCCGCTGCGGCCACCCCAGGATTCCACCGCTGCTTGCGCTGCCTGTTCTTTCCCACACAACCCTAGGACCCAGCAAAGTATGTGGAGGCGGTAGCTGCCGCAGGTGCCAGCTCGTTCACGTTCCAGATCGAGCCCTTCCTGGACGCACACACTGCCCAGCCAGACGCAGCCAAGCGCTGCGCAGCGGCAGCTGCCGGTGCCGCGGAGCTGGCGGCTGCGATCCGGGCGCGTGGCATGCGGGCGGCGGTGGCGGTGGCGCCCGCGACGGGTGTGGAGGTGGTGATGCCGCTGGCGGACGCCGGGGCTGTCGACATGGTGCGGCCGTGCTTTGGGGATGAAGCTTTTGTTCCAGATCCCAGAACTTGTGCTTGCTTGCCAGGATTCCAGCAGCAAGCTTGCATGCGTTCTTGGCCTGCCGCGCAACTGGCAAGGGTTCATGCAGCTGGCTCCCGCGTTTCTGTGCCACGCACCTTCATACTCTTTCCTGACCCACCCCATGCACACTCACATACACACACCACACATGCACCCAGGTGCTATTCATGACCGTGAACTGCGGCTTTGGGGGCCAGAGCTTCCAGGCCCAGGTGCTGGACAAGGTGGCGGCGGCGCGCCGCGCCCACCCTTCCCTGACCATCCAGGTCGACGGCGGCATCAACGCCACAACAGCAGCACTGGCCGCCGCTGCCGGCGCCAACGCGGTCGTGGCGGGAACGGCCGTGTTTCTCGCGCCAGAGGGCGCCGCAGCGGCGATTGGGGCGATCCGCGGGGCGCTGCTTGAGCACCTGCCACGCGCCACCGCTGCGGCACACGCTCACGCAACATTGGCAGCTGTCGAGGGAGCTGGTCCGGCAGCAGTACTCTAGATGGGTGCAGAGTCACGCTTTGCAGCTGGTTGGAGACGTGCCTCACCACCCTCCCCCCAATTCCAAAACTTTAGTGCAAGGGCTACGGTATTAATCAATACCGACCATGTCGCCTTTATCATCTTGCAATCATGAAGCAGTCTTAAGCTGAACATGTATTCATCGGATGTCCAACCTGATAAGTGTTGAGCCTCTGCGTCACATGCAAACACCTGGATCCATTGGTTGCATCGACACAAGATGCCAACGGCAGCACTGCATGAGGCCTGCCGGCTTTGTCACGTCAAGGGAGTGCAGCACCTGAATTGCAAAAACACTAATCTGGCTCCGCGCAGGCCCCCTGCTCCCTTTCGTCCCAGACTGCGGCACCCGCGGCCACCTCTGACACAGCAACACCCAAGCGGTTTAACTCCACCTCCATGGTGGATCCCCATGGTCGCTTTGGTCGGTGCAATCGTGCAGGCAGTAGTACGCGCGCAAACGTGCATTCCTCCCACATGCACAGACGCTGAAGACACATCGGATAGCGGTCTGCATTGCTGTTGCATTAACTCTCAAGGTTGTTTGTCCAGGGTTGAGGGGTCATGGGGCATAGCCAACTGGTGTCGGGGCAGCCTCGTTGCCAACAATCGACCCAAGAACGCCCAGTTGTTGCCACAGAAACTCAGCACTGATTGCACTGCATAGGCGCCTGTGATGCGAAGGCGTCGGGCTCGTGGCTGCCACTGCCATATGAGGAGGTGGGGGGAATTTGGACAGTGGGGCAAATCGGACACTTCTTCTAGGAGGCTTCTTTGTTGATACACTTCATATATGTGTAAGAACATGATTTTAGGCATCCACTGAACGCTCGTATAGTAACGTTAGAGGCTCCTGCTCGCGTCCTCTCCGCGGTGATCACGTCCAACACCCGCGCATCCAGAATAGGAGCCGGCAGGGCTCCGCCCGACTTCTGCTGTCATATTTAGGATTATTAGATCCCTAAAGCGCGCGGCCGGCCAACCAGACCTTGCATGCCCGATCCGCCCCAAGCTCTGGTCACAGCTTGTGCTGCGGGCAGCAGCAGCGGGGCGATTTGGACACTTGGAAAGGGCCTTCACATAGTGATTCAAGGGTTGTAATGGTAATGAAAAACATGTTAAACACGTTCTAAGCCATCAGAAGCTCGTAAAGCGCCATGTTCGCGAACTGTCCGAATTGCCCCGAGCTGCGCTGCAGCTACCGTGAAGCGATCTCAGCATACACGCCACGAGCGTGTATGCACTCCTATCAGAAACCAAGGCTTGGTTTAATAAAACAGTTCATGCAGGCTACAGGCCGTGAGAGCCCCTCAGTCGTGAGAAAGCACCCCACTGTCCGAATTGCCCCCACCTCCTCATACTGAAGGCTGAGCCAGCACATGCATTGCCAGCGTCGCAGTCAGCGTTTGCTCAAACTTCCAGTACCCAAGGGATGCGGCAATGTCATGGCCAGTGCTTTGGAGCGTAACATTTTGGCCATAATATACCGCATAAAACAATTCAAATGACTAAACAGACCCGCGCCAGGTGATCTAAGAAGCGGTTCAATACAAAGAGGGAGAGAGCATAACGGATGCCACCGCAGTCAGAATCTGAGGAAGGTGTACTGCCGATGCAGCACTTGCCACGCAACGTGCTCGACGCGCCGGCGCAAGGGTGCGTGAGCGGCGCTTGCTTGCCGCGCTGCACCCTGCATGCCATGGCACTGTTCGGCTGGCAAACTTTGGCAGTGCGACCTGCAGACAGCTGCAAGTCAGCCTGCAGACATCAGGGCATGCAGATATTTGCAACCGCAGCTGCTCAGGAATCCCGCCAGCTCGCCATCTTGATACCATGCGCTCACGTAACCGCACGCGTCCAGGCCCGACTGGGGCGCCGCGCTGGGCAACGCAGAGAACGCCAAGCTGGCTGTGGCTGCGCTGCGCGACATGCTGGGCGATGCGGTGTTCCTGGACGAGGAGGCGTTCGCAGGGGCGGCCACCATGCAGCTCTACCAGCAGCGGTTGCAGGTGAGCACACCTATTTGGGCAATGGGTGCGCGTGAGGAACGCGCAATGTTGGGGGCCAAGAACAGGCCTATGCCGCGACAAGTTGGCGCAACGGCATTGCTGAACACGTGCTCGTGCTGCAGCTGTGGCCCCAGAGGTCTGGTCGGGCGAGGGGGTCAGCCGGGTGCGACAGTCGCAGCGGTCCTGTTCCTTCCTCAGTTCCAGGAGCGGGTGGGATGGGGATTCCTGAAGCTCTTTTCGTACGCACACGCGCAGGCGCAAGTGCGCCGCATGCGTGAGCTGGAGGCCGTGGCCGAGGCGCTGCGCGCGGAGGTGTCCATGAAGGACGAGGCCCTGGCAGCTGCGCGGGACAGCGTGGAGGCGGCCAACACGCGCGTGCGGGATATGCAGGGGGAGCTGGACGCCAACGCGGCGGTGTTTGAGCTGCGTGAGTGGCGGCCACCGGGCTGGGGCCACGCGTGCGCAGCGGTTTACCTCCAGCAAGGCACTACAGGTTGCGTTGGCGGCGCGGCAGTCACCTCGTAGCAACACATGTGCTGTTTGCCGTGTCAGCAGCAGCCATCGTGTAGCCCTTGCGGTGCGGCCCTGAACCCCTGAACCCACTGACCCCCCGCCCTCCCAGACTATCGCGAGATCATGCTCAAGAATGAGGAGATAGAGCGCCTCAAAGCCGTCATAGAGGGCCTGGGAGGAGGAGGGGGGGACGTGGGGGCGGGCCGCAGCGTCGTGTTTGGCAGCAGCGGCGGCGGCGGTGGGCCCGGGCCCTCGTGGTTGTGAGCGATGAAAGGCGGAGGCTGCGCGGCTGCTTTCTGACCCAGTGTTTGTCATGGTATTTGCTGTTGCCTTCTGGCACCATACTGGTGTGATGACCCTGCTGTGCTCTTCTCGTCTCACTGCTGGTGATGTGTTGTTTCTCCTTCAGGACTTTGAATCATGACTTTTTTTCAGCTCGTGTGATTTGTGGTGGAACCATTGCTGTGTCGTCTCATTTGATCCGCCATTACTTCTGACAATGTTTGTCAGCACATGTTTTGTGCCTAGTCAATGGTCGCCTGCCATACCAATCTGGTCACTACATGCGTTTGACTGACAGCTGGCAACAGGCCGCTGTTTTACACGGGGCACGTCCCCACACTGCCAGGTCCAAAGGCAGTCAGAGAGTAACTTATGATCCTTATACTCGCCAACACAGTTCACATCATAGCACTTCCAAGACGCACCATGCATGAATGCTGCTGCTTCATGGCAAGCACTTCCAAGCAGCAAGATGAAACAGCACTCAGCAGTGCAATTGCTGCACGCCAGAGCAGCAGAGTGCCAAATACAAAGCACAACATCTGCCGCCTACTGCCAGGCACCGCCAAGCAGCCAAACAAAGTCGTGCGGGGCGAGCAGATAATGTGGACAGCCCCTGTGCTGTGGCCGTTGATGCCGCGGTCGTGCCGGTCCGGCAACAGCCGCGCCCCTGGCTCCGCCAATCAAGCGAGGTCGTCCGGCTGCCCGCCCGGCACGAGCACGGCGATGTTGTTGCCGTTGAGCAGGATGGTGTCGAGGCGGTTGATGATGCGGCCCTCTGGCGTGATCTCGATCTCCGCGACATCCTCCAGCACCATGTTCACGTACACGTCAAAGCCGCGCAGGGTGCCCACAATCTCCTTGTCGCCCTTCATGATCACCCAGATGCGAGACCCGATGCAGCGGTCGATGAGCTCGCTGGGCAACAGGTGAGACGGGTTGGCTGCAGGGGGGCCGCGTTTTTGGGCGATCATCCTGGCGCGCTGCCGACGCTGCCGACGCCACTGACGCCCGCCGCTGCTGCTAGGGTGAGCTTGGGGCTACCAGCTGTGAGTGCTGTTTCAGATGCTGCAGCGGCTGCCTACAGGAGGGCGCTGCACCTAGAGAACGCACGTCGCCGCCTGATGCGCACTCGCCGCCTTGCGCACTCAGCTGTGCTTGGAGCAACTGGATGAAAGCAGCGTGTGCGGTCGGGGCGACACGCTAAACTGCAATAGTTACACGTATTGAGATTTCGCAAGGAGTGCTCAGTCTGAGGGAGCGTCAAGTCAGATCAGTTCACAGTGATCTGGTCCCGAGCTGTGAGGTCCCCTAGGAGGTGGCATACATTACATGGCATTTGATACGGCCCATATTACTGCAGTCTTTTTTATGGTCATGTTTTATCTCTTACGCGACCCTGTCTTGCTGTAGAGCAGCTTGGACGGTAGGAGTGGTGACAACGCGGGCAAGGCCGCCACCACCGCACCATTGTACTAATAAATAGATTTGAAATGCGTTGTGTGGACGTGCTGGTGCTGGTACTGGCCCTGGCAGGCCTGTCGATGGCAGGTGTGGCCGTCCCGCGCATCGCAGAGTTCGAACTGCCCGTAAGGGCCCTGATTGTCTTGGCTGTGGTAAGGTTTTACTCTCTGCACCCAAGCACACCCGGCCATGCAGGCGCAGCGGCGGTAAAAAGCGGGGGCGCCTCCTGCTCCTGCTCGTGCCGCTTCGCTGCCCCACCAACCGCCTGCAGCTGCCGAAAAGATATCTGTGAAGGGCAACCAGTTGGTCAATGAGAAGGGGCAGCCGCTGAAACTGCGCGGAATCAACTACTTCGGGTGCGGTGGTTTCTATTGGATGCCTTGCATAAAAACTCGTTCGAGTTTTTATGCAGGAGCAGTGCAGCGCATTGTGTGTCTCGGCCGGTGCATGAGCAGGTTGAATTGGCAGCTTTCCAGCCCCAAATCGGCTGGGAGGCTGACCCCACCTGCGGCTCTGCGTCCTGCTGCAGGTTCAACAACGGTCAGACCATGGTGGATGGCCTCTGGGCAGGGGACACCAGCTTGACCAAGGACTTCTCCACGCAGGCGAGGAGTGCCTACTGCCAGTTGACGGCCTCCTGCCAGCCCAACCCCTGCTGCCGCCGGGATGGAAATCTCCCGCCACTCTGCCTTGAAAGCTTGCCGTGCCAAGCACCCCACCTCTCCGTGGTACGTGCATGGCACGGCGCCCCCTGCCACGTCAGCCTCCAACTTCGGCCCCAACACCCACGTGACCCGCCAGGTGTACCGTATGCAGCTGCTGGGGTTCAATGCGGTGCGGCTGCCCTTCTCCTTCAAGGACTTTAACCTAAAGGGGCGCACCGACTACATCTGGTGCCGCGAGGCCTCGGCCTCTGAGATCCGCAGGACCGTGTCGCCGCCAGGCTTCGTCCCCTGGTCGAAGCCGCTGCCACCGCCGCGGGCGCCGCTGCTGGTGGGCGGGGGCCGCTGCAACATCGGCATGCCCAACAATGTGTTTGACCGGTTCCTGTGGGTCATCAACTACTTTGCCAAGGCCGGGTTCAAGGTGGGCAGCAGCAGGAGCGGTCTGAGGAGGCCGCGGTGGCGTACAGGATGGCGTTGCATCGCGCCACAGAGAGGCCACGGCAGGTGCAACTGACGGTGGTTCTGGAACAGAACCAGTCTATCAGATCTGTGCTGCCAGTCGAGCAGATGTTGGAGGCTACACGCACACCGTCACCTGCGCTCCACCCCCGGGGGCTTGCAGGAAGATCTGGGTGAGGGCCGGGCGCTCACTCGCATCCAAGTGCCCCTCAACGCGCTCTCAACAGATCGTGATTGACAACCACGTTTGGCTGGAGGACCCCACCGCCTACGAGAACCCTAAGCTGTGGGTTGACTCCTGGCAGAAGCTGGCCGCAGCTGTCAGCAAGGTGGGCTTTGGTGCTGCGACAGGGCTGGTGCTTGTTTGAATTTGGTGTGTGCTAGGGTTGGCATTCATGAATTCAACCGCAGCAACAGGTAATGCGTGCTTATATCGGTGTGCAGGCAGGCAGCGCTCGTGCTCACGCGCGCTCATGCACCCAATCACTCCCACACGCGCGCACACACACTTGAGCGCGCGCGCGCACACACACACACACACACACACACACACATGCGCGTGTGCGTGCGCACACACACATCGGCAGGATCCCATCTCACGTGGTGTGGTGATGTACGACCTGGTCAACGAGCCCGACAACAAGCGCATCTTCTGGACCGAGCGCAAGGGGCGGCCCTCCCTGGCCAAGCTGTACTTTGATGCAATGGACGCCATCCAGAGGGTCCAGCCGGACGCCATATTCGTACTGGAGGCAAGCATGGCTCTTTGGGGGGTGCGGAAGGGGCATGGGCGCGGAGGGCGGGAGTGCTGCAGCTGACCGGGGCCACGAGGAACGGGAACAGCGCTGGGAGCTGGGGGGGGGGGCACGAGCAGCGGCTGGTACCATGCATGCGTTCGGCCGGAGCACCAGCAGCGTAAGCATAATCTGGTTACCACGTTGGCACACATGCACCGCCCTCCCGTCCGCCCTAGTAGGAATTTATCTCTTGCCCCAACCCCATTTCAATGCCAATAGGGGACCGGCCAGATCGGCTATGGGATTCCCTCTGGTGATGGCTTTGTGACGGAGGGGGGCGTCATCAAACGCTTCCAGAACAAAAACATATGCACCACACGGTACTGCCTCACAGGTGGGCAGCCAATGTGGTTGGGTGGTGAAAGGTCGCGCGCAAGACTCCAGTACCCGGTTTCCTCAGCAAGCCATGCGCAAATCAGCAGCACCTGTAGCAGAACTCTCCAGGTACCCAGCCAGCCTGGCTGCCCGGCTGCAACACGTTTTGAAGCCCCTGTTCGTCATCCATGTGGCCCTTGCGTCCCGTCAAATCAGAGTAAGGCTCCACCCTCCCCCCTCTCTGTCACCCGACCCGTGCCACTC